AGGAAGGAAGGAAGGAAGGAAGGAAGGAAGGAAGGAAGGAAGGAAGGAAGGAAGGGCTGCTGGTTGATTTAAAGTAGGACAAAGATGTATTGCTAGTTCTGTCCCAAATTAGTGCATTAAAAGCTTTCTGCTTCTGCTGATCAGGAGTTTTGCGTGACCATGCCGTCTCCTCTTTCTATTACTATTACTCTAATGCCATTTGGCGTTCTCTACCCTAAATGACATGAAGACTACAGTACTCAGTCAGTCAACCAGACCAAGAGTCTTCCTGGGTCCAAAATTAGCCCTGCTGGACAGGTTGGGGCAATGGAGGATGGGCCAGGATAAAGCAGATATTTCTCAGTACATCCTATGAACTTACTCCTGCTTCACCCTGCACTCCTCCTCTACCTGTCAGCTGGGCTATTTTTAAACCCAGGAAGACTCGTGGTCTGGTTGACTGACTGAGTACTGTCCTCTTACTTTTTGTATCAGTTTATATAGTTGCTCATCTCCCAGCTGTGACCCAGGGGGGCCAACGTAGGATTAAAAGTCAACAAAACAATAAAAGCTAGTGATAATAATAACAGCAGCAACAACATGATGCCCAAGATCAATCTGGCCCAGCCCATATAAAGACAGTTTACTAAGAAAAATCACTCAGCCTCCAGACTCCACGTCCAGGGGAACATCCAGATCTTCGGGGACTTATGAAATGCCAGCAGGGTCAGGGCAAGGGAATTTCAGGGCGCATGTGTTCCAAAGGGCTGGTGCTGTGGCAGAGAATGCATGCTTAATAAATGGGACCTGAAGCATGACAGATCTGGTAGGACAGGCAGAATCAGTCAGAGAAAGGTGGTCCTGCAACTTTGAAAGTTAGCTAAAGCCTCCATCCTGGGCACCTCCTCCCATTCACCCAACCCCCTTCCACCACACTTTAAGGAAAGCAACTGGTCCCAGAAGGAGGTCAAAAAGGTCAAGATGATGGTTGCAACCGCACCCTCAAAGCCCTTCTCTTTGGACAGTGTTTCTCAACCTCAGCAACTTTGAGACGTGTGGACTTCAACTCCCAGCATTCCCCAGCCAGGCTGGGAGTTGAAGGCCACAAGTCTCCAAATTGTTGAGGTTGAGAAACACTGTCCAAAGAGAAGGGCTTTGAGGGTGCGGTTGCAACCATCATCTTGACCTTTTTGACCTCCTTCTGGGACCAGTTGCTTTCCTTAAAGTGTGGTGG